CCCCCCCGCCCCCCCTCCGCAGTAGTCGCCTCCGCACTTTATTTCAAGTTGACGGTCATGGGTTCATTTATTTAATTCAGGATTGTTTGTAACTCTTGGGGCGAGGGCACATAGAGCCCCCCCCACCAAGAAAACCTAATAAAAGTGCAGCACTTAGGGCCTTGAATAAAATTTTAATGAAGGGGAGGAGAGGAAGGCAACTTGCTTCGCATTGGAGGAGGGGAGCCGGCGCCAGTCGGAAAACTGGGGGGCTTGATCAAGGGGCTTTTCCTCAGTCACAGCTTCAGGGCCTAGAACGACTCAGAGTGTGCGCGACGAGGGCGGGGGTCGGAGGGGGCGGGGACGGCGGTGCAGATCCGCGGCCCGCCTGGACTCGGCCTCTGGAGCTCCCCGGCGGCCAGAGGCGTTTGCCAGAAGGAGCCAAAGACCCCGGAACTGGAGCCTCGGGTGCGCGCTCCGCTGGGCCGCTGCGGAAACCTAGGTTCCAAAAATGATCCAGTGGGCGCGTCTGCGCACCTCTCCACCACTACCCTTAATTCGGCCTCCGGAAGCCTAATAAACTCCACCTGGTTTAGAGGTGGAAAAAGCCTAACAAACTCCACCTGGTTTAGAGGTGGAAACTATTTCGCTCCTGGAGCCAGCGTAGACTCGACCCACGATCCTGTTTCCACGTTTGCTGAGGCTTAGCCAGAGCAGCGGGTTGACTCCATGGGAGGAACACCGCGGGGAGCGCAGCTCCGAGGAAAATTAGGCCTTGTTGGCGAAAAGAAGCCCAGTGGATTTTCCGGAGTGTATTTGCGCACCCGTGCGTGTATTTGTCTTTCAGAATGTTGTCTGGATGAACAGATTTGCGTTCACAGGTTTCAGTCTGTATACTTTTAGCAAAATCATCTCCCCCATGGCTTAAAACGGCCCTATTTAACAGCAAAGCTGCAGGCAAGTAAATACGGATGTGGGCGTTTTGTTGTGATGTAGACACAAATTAGTAAAAGATTTTTAAATGGTGGGT